CGTCGTCGTCACCTTCCCCGGCCCCATCCTCAGCTCCTTCCCCCAGCAAGCCGTGGTGGGCTCCTCCGGAGCACCCGCCTTCGGGGGCTCCCTGGGGCTGGGGGGCCTCTACGGCGCCGGGGCCACGCTGGGCTCGGGGGGCCTCTGCACCTTTGGCAGACCCTACGCTTCCCCTGCCTGCAGCCCTTGCGCCTTGCCCCGCTACAGCAAGAAGCTGTGGGACACCTGCGGGCCCTGCTAGACCCAAAAACCCCAGAGTCCCCGCGCCACCTCAGCCTTATGCCTCCTCTCCTTTCTCCTCTCCTTCCCCTCTCCCCACGCCGCCTCTCCTCCTCCTCCTCCTTCCTGCTGCCTCTGCCCACATGCGCGACTCCGCCCTCGTCCCCCAGCCCACTAGCTTGTCTCTGCAAGGACCACCGCCTGGCAGAAGCCTGAAGGAACACCTCTCTTGAAGCCCGGGTGCACAACCTGCCTCTTTCTGCCTCCTGTGTCTTTCTCCAGCGGGTGCTTTCCTGCACTGCAATAAAACAATCGTCCATCCAACACCTGCCTCTCCATTTCTCCTTTCGAGGCCCAGCGTGGGCTGCAGGGCTCCCTCGCCCTGCACGTGGCCCCCGCCACCTGGGCCAGGACACTCTCTCAGCCCCAGCAGAGCCAGGCTGATGCGCCTTTGGCGAGACCCCACAGCCCTGGCAGCTCTCGCCACGCATGCTCCTGCAGCTGAGCTCCAAGGGCCCTGCCTGAAGGCGGGGGGCTCCCCTGCCTGCAGGACATGCAGCCCGGGGGCGCCTGCAGACCTCCAGCCAACCCTGGCCATGAGCAGCTCTGCTCCCTGGCCTTGGAGGCAGCCAGGGGCAATGGCTGCCACGGCTCCAGCCACTCTCGTGCCTCCACGGCTCGGCTAAAGGCCCTGCGAGAGACAGGAAATCCACTTTTCTCTTCCCTTTCCTCTTCTTCTCCCCCTTCCCCTTCTCCTTCTCTATCCTCTCCTTCTCCTCCTTCCCCTTCCCCTTCCCCTTCCCCTTTCCTTTCCTTTTCCTCTTCCCCTTCCCCCGCCCTTTCCTCTTCTTCTTCCCCGTCCCCTTCCCTCTCCCCTTCCAGTTCTCGCCCCCGGCACGCACCAACACACTCCGTGCTCCTCGGTTCTCTGCTGCAGACACAAAATCACAGAAATTGCAGCCTGAGTCTTGTGGCAGGAGCCTTTGGAGGGCATCTCGTCATGCTGCCGCCTCAAGCAGGGTCCCCCAGAGCCAGCTGCCCAGCCCCACGTCCAGACGGCTTTTGCACGTCTCCAAGGAAGGAGACTCCACAACCTCACAGCGCAACCTGTGCCAGTGCTCAGTCACCCTCACAGTGAAAAAGTGCTTTGGGACGTTGAGGCGGAGCCTCCTGTCTTTCAGCTGGTGCCCATTGCCTCTCCTCCTGGCACGGCACACCTCTGAAGAGAGCCTGGCTCCATCTCCTTGACGCCTTCCCTTCGGGCATGTGTGCACATTGACGAGATCCCCCCCTGAGCCTCCTCTGCACCAGGAGCAACAGTCCCGGCTCTCTCAGGCTCTGCCCAGAGGACAGATGCTCCCTGTCCCTTCAGCATCTGCGTGCAGCCCTTTGCCGGGCTCTCGCCAGTAGCCCCACCTCTCTCCTGTGCTGGGCAGCCCAGCCCTGGACACAGCACCGCAGGGGTTGCCTTGCCAGTGCCCAGTGGAGGGCCAGGATCCCCTCCCTCCACCTGCCGGCCACGCTCCTCCGCATGCAGCCCAGGACACCGCTGGCCGCCTTTCCCCCAAGGCACCTTGCCGGCTCAGGCTCCCCTTGCTGTCCCTCAGCACCCCCGGGGCCTCTCCTCACAAGCTGCTCTTCCACAGGAGACGGCCGTTTCCCAGGCGTGGGGTTTAACACTGGCTCTCCTCCAGCCTCCTCTGCGCGGATGCCCGGAGATGCTGCCGTGCTTCTGCGGAGCTGAGGGACCTGGCAGCGCTGGGGCTGTTCCCGGGCTGAGAAGGCCAGGCAAAGGAGCCCTGCCAGCGCCTGTCCTGCTCTCTGCCCTTTGCCCAGCTCCTGCAAGCCCCACCAAAAGGCTCTCTCTCCCCTGCCTGCTGCCTGCTGCCTGCTGCCTGC